TCCGAGCAGGGGCACGAGGCTGCGCCCGAGAAAGGCTAGTGTAACTCCGAGATGAAGAGTCCATCTTGATGTACGACAACGATATCAACGTACCCCAGGGCGTGGATTTGTCAGTCATATCTCGAAAAATTTGCATCTCATGCCCGGATACCACACAGTCGTACGCATCCAGTACGGACATACGAACCCGGAACGAAAGGTCATCTGGGCTGGGCGTGGTGACAGGTGGGTGGGTAACCAAGATTGTCTATCAGGGTCGATACTGGTCGGTGGTGATCAAGGTTGTAAATGCATTGAAAATAGTGTCTGGATCGATATGAAGCCACCGTTCGCTAGGATTGTACAATATGAGTCGTTCCCACAGACATGACATTTTGGCCGCCCTGGTACGCGATATTATCGTGAATGGCAAACCCTGATCCTAGAACACGTCCAGTCAGAACGAAAAAGTCTCTGAGCTGAACGATGAGAGTGGGTACTGCGAGAACGAGAGTAGTAGTGCCAAAGACGGAGTATCAATGGCCGACCAGGATTATGCTGAGGTCCCAACCTGGATCTGCGGAAGTTAGGATGACACAACTACAACACCCTCCGCACTTCAGGATCCTGAATCGTGGAGAGTTGGTCGATGCGTGCCCGCAGACGGAAGAAGTCGTCCTGGGGACAACCAGAGTGGACGTAGCTACACAGATCAATGGGATTTGACCAGACATGTGATCCTGGCAAAGAAAACACTCGGGATGATGACGGAGGTGACACTTCTTTGAAAATGCCTCCCGAATTGACGATCGAACTCGAGGAGCACCAGAGCGGCGAAGTGCCCTCGGAAGTATACCCTGGACCCGTTAACCCAGGATTCCAGTCAGAAATGACGTCGTATACGCCACTCGAGTAGTGCACTTCATATACACAGATAGTATAGTTAGCTATACGTGTTAGTATCTGTTTGCTAGTGTATAGTATACTTTACAAACACGTATCTACCGAACAAACCAGGGTAATGGTTTAAAATTTGTTGTGATTGCAAATGAAAAAAAACTTTCTCCAATATTTCACCTTTCTATATATAGTTTGTAAATTCAGATGAGAATATACGTGGCAACAGTTTATATGGTTTGCATTCTTTAAATCCAAAAGGTAGAAATGTCTCCTACATTATCAATCCACGATGTCTCATGCATGCAATTTGAACAGGATGAATATATTAGATTGGAAGTGTTGTGTCATTCATTGCTACGTTTCGTATGGATAGCAAAATACAACTTCGAAACTGCAAAATGGAAGTTGTTCGGGCAAGCTGCCCTGGTGGGTGTCCAATCCAATAAATGCCACGTTCTGTCAACGAGGGATTCATTGTCAAATTCACCCTCCTGACAACAGGTTCGATTAGTCGCCTACCTAGCTTCATTCAAATGCCTTTAACCATGGTGATGACTGTATTCAACCTTCTACAAGCCTCCAAGAAAATTTCCGATCCCTCCAAGTTCGACACTAATACACACTTGGAGATGTGTCGCTCCAACAGGGGAAGGTGTCGTCATTGCCAGCGTATGGTGCCCTGGACCAGGGCAAGAGTGAGATCTCACGAGCGAGCAAACTGCATAGGTATCTCAACGAGAGAAAAAAACGTTTTTCCATGCGCAACACCCGTTGCAGTGTATACCCACTATGAAACGTGCGCGTCTGCCTTCAGATCCCAAACCACGTAAACAAACTCGAATGCAATCAATCGCTGGTTCGTGGTTCGGCCAAAGGACGGTCGGTGAACGTGTTGTTGCATCACGTTCGCTGGCAACGTTCTTTTTTCGGACTGGGATCCCTTTTTGTGTTGTGGAATCGGCTTCTTTTAAAGCGTTGCTATTCATTTAACACATGCCTTCGGCGAAGGTTTTGTTGGGAAGTTTACTGGATCAAGAGTTCACTGAATTATGGAATCTTCTCATGGCTATCCGATCTACGGCCAAACCATACTCGCTTGTTAGCGACGGATGATCCAAATCGAGAAACGAGTATCAAGTGAACTATGGCGTGATACTTCCTGGTCCCAAACCGTTTTTTTCTGAAGAGCATACCAACCGTGGGTATTTCCCAGAGATCAGAGAGAATCGCCAATGACACTATCGATGTGATACGCAAACTCGGTGACACCAAATGGGTTTAGGTGATCACCGACAATGCAAGCAACATGCGTGGAGCCAGTGATATATTTTAAAAAGAGTACCTTCGTTTTCGCCAACGACTGTGGAGCCTATGCGATGAACTTGCTAATCAAGGACATTGTCAAGATTCCTGAGTTTGGCGACACGATTAGTGAAGTCATGTTGGGGATTTATATGCAATCACCAACACGTTCTCGCAACTTCCAGAAGAAACGTGAGCAATACCAAGTCAAGTACGACTTGGTTATGGGTGTCCTCACCTACTGGTACTCTCACTATAACGCGTGTAGATATCTACGTTCAGCAACGTTTGCACTACAACTATTACTGGAAGATGACGTTGCACCCGTTCTGGACGGCATCCAGAACCAAAGCCCCATGATCGTTTTCAAGTTTTAGCTGGGAATCTAGGGTTCTGGTGTCGACTGAGAAAGTTGACATCCGTTTTGAAGTTTCCTAGCCAAATCATTGGCAAATTTGAGAAGAACAATTGTGATCCTTATCACGTCTACTACTAATTTCGAAGATACAAACATCTTGGGATAACAAGCCCACGACCGACAGTGTGCTTGTAGCTAAACTATTGTGGCTGCAAGATGGAAGTTCATACACACAGACTCAATGGGTTTCGCGTACATGCTCACCACTCGAAGCTCGACTATGCAGTGGGAAGCGAAAGCCAAGATCAACCCAAAAATCGATTTCTTCCTTATATGAACCATTTCTACGAAAAGGACGAAGCAGCGGAGTGCATGTATGAATTGAGTAGCTTTCTCTCCATCTACACAACGGGATCTTTGGCTGAACTAATCGGGTACAATGTACTATCTGGTTTGCAGTACTCGGGGTAGTACAGATTATCAGAATATCCACTACTAACCGCGATTGCTGTGAGAGTATTCTCCGCCCCTACGTCTTCTGCAGCAGCGGTGAGGGCCTGGAACATTTTCTCCTACCTCCACACTCAACGACGCAATCGAATGTCTATGACCAAGTTGGAGACGCTGGCTTTCGTGTACATCAACCATGCACTCTTGTACGTAAAAGGACAAGATTGACTATATAGGGTGGTACGTGGAAGGCGAAGACGAGGAATATGAAGAAGATGGTGTTGGTGAAGAAACTGATCAGGAAGTCGGACTTGCTTGATTTGAATAAGAAAAAGTCTGCAGTCTTCTTACGTCTCATATAACTCGAATACACATTTAATCCATTTTATAATATTTATAAACATTGATATGTATGGTAACCAAGCTTAGTTTGCAAATACATCACATAACACTTGTTCTGGTAACTATCCTTAATAGTACCTTGCAAACCAAAATTAAATATGTTGCAAATTTAAAAATTTATGACACAAAGCGTAGAGATGATGAAGTTTATACTTATCTCGACGAATGCTTGTGATTTAATCATGGGGTGTTTGTATATTTATATATTCTAACCTCAAGTCCGAATATAAAGACAAAACCGCTCTATACGTTCAATTGTACCCGCAGTGTAAATGCATCCGGCATTTCAGAAATAATATGGCTCCGTGTAGGCGACGCCAAAGAGCATCACGCGCTAGGCTCCGAAATGCGGTTGGTCATCTAATTCATACGACACCAAGTTTATTACATCACTGTAATCTCGTACTATCAACAACATCCAACTATCTAGCCAAACCGTACAAGAAATAAGAGATACTTCGCATGGATGGATGAACAAGACACATGAAAGAACGGAAACTACACAAGAAACAACCGATTGGTTACAAGAAACATTCGAATTGGAAGTAAACAATGAAGAAACACCAGATGTTGTCACCAGGTTTAAGGACATCGTTATTGCGGAAGATGACGACAGTCAATCGCGCTTAGTTGTCTACGCACTGGAATCACCCCCTTCCCACTCAACTGGCAACGATGCGGAATCGTCTCTAGGCAGCCAATACGAAGCCCATACGTATATTGTAGAAAGCATTTGCGCTATGCAAACGGTAGACATGCAATAGTTATTTCTAGTAAAATGGGCTGGGTTCGACGTTCCAACTTGAAACCTTGCTCAGCATACGCCTATTGACATGATACATGAGTTTGAAGAAGTAGAGATGAATGATGCGTGGCCTGCGTACCTCTCATTGCCGATTGGTGAAGATAGTCGTAGGTTGTATCGATTAATACAGTAAGATACTAAATTCAAACTCATAATTTCACTGACTTCATAACAAAGACTGAATATACGGTTAGCAATCAGTTCGTTAGTGTATAGTAAAATTTACAAACATCTACTCCCCACACTACACTCGAGAAGTTGGAGATGGAGTACAGGTGTTGTATGAGGGTTAGTGCTGAGGAGTTGGATTTGGAACCAGGCGTGTATATACATGAAGGATGCGAGATCCTGGCACAATGGAGAGACCGGTTGATTATGTAGCTAGAATTGAATGAACTACATCCGGAATGGAATACCGAGAAGGCTGATGTAGGGGTTCCAGGCGAGATCTCCCCGAAGATGGATACATGATGTGTGCGATCCTGAAGCACCACCGGAAGATTTCCCGGGGAGACGGAAATGTCTGGTATGTGATCTCGATGTGGGGGATGCCAAGGCCATCGCGTTGGGCCCAAGGTCGATTGCACCCCATGTGGTGGTCAAGGTGTATGAGTTTCTCAAGACGTTGCTCGAGAATAATCTGATTGAACACTCAGAGTACCAGTGGGCTTATCAATCGTGATCGTACTCAAGAACAATGGAGTGGGTATCAGGATGTGTATTGACTATCGACTTGTGAACAGCTTCATCCAGCTGTCTAGTTACCCGTTACCTCTCAGCGACGACTTGTAAGTCGGTTTTGAGATGGCGTTCTGGTTCATGAACCTGGATATGGCCAGCGGTTTCTGGGCAATCAGAATGACCGAAAGGGCCAAGCTGATTTTGGCTTCCGTATGTCCGTTTACACCTTTCCAGTGGATTACAATACCGTTTGGCCTGAAAATACACCTCTGATTTATCAGCAAGTGATCAATAATTGTATATGGGGATTCGTGCGTCAGCTGCCAGAAGAGGAGGCCGAAGTATATCAAGAAGTTTGGATTATCTGAATTTGGATCCCCCGGATGATGGACCTCTAGAGTGGGACATTCCGAGACGTCCTGGTTGCGATAACGACTATACACGTCGATTTTTGCCAACCCTGGCGGACCAAATGACTGTGGTCAAGAGGTACATCCCTGCTTAGACGCAGATGTCGCCTGTCCTGGGACGGAACTCGTATATTGACGATATCGCACATGGCGCGCCAAGTTGGGACGCATTCTGTGCTGGCTTGGATGCATTGGTGTATAGACTGTGGTATTGGAAAATCTCAGTAAGTTTGCCGAAGAGTGGGGTTGGGCAATGGTCCATTCCGTTCTAGTCAAATGAGATTAGTGCTGAGAGTATCAGGGCAATGCCGAAGATCGCCAAGGACGTTCAGGATCTACCGTTTTCAACAACGATGAATGGAGTACAATCCTTTTTGGATTGTCTGAACTACTACCAAAAATTTATTGAGGACTACCCAGTAATCGCAGCGTCCCTGAATGAACTCACGAATGGCCAATTGCGTTCTGGGCGGGATTTCTTCAGGGCAGAACAAGCGTTTGAAATCCTGGTCGTGTTAACCCCGGTATTGAGACATCCTGAAAAGACCAAACCGTTCGTTATGATACCCCATCCAAACCAATGAGCTGCCCCTGCAGTTCTGGGTCAAGAACATGGTGGCTTGATTCAGCCAGGACAATCCATGGTTTTCACGATGCAGAATTCAGATATCACATCACGGAAAAGGAAATAATCCTCGTGTTAAGAGTGTTGCCGGTGTTCAAAACACTCATTTTGGGTTACTCCTTCATCGCTAATACTAGTCACTCAGTATTGAAGTGTATCATGAGGTCCAAGACTGCAGATGGGAGGTGTGTGCCTTGTTTTTTTCACTTTCGCAATGGAATCTAGACATCAGGAAAATCCAACGAGACGAGGACGGACTAGCCGCAATCCTGGGTGCCGGCATCACCTCTCGAAAGCATTTGGATGAGTTCGCCGAGGAACTCATCCCTGCCAAAGGCGCGCGAAACCACCCCCGGTAATTAGCGTTGGAATGTTGTATGATACACTTGAAGGCGTCGTGTTAAGTTTTGATGGTGCCGCCAAGACATCCACTCGGTAGCTGTGAATGTATTCTGTGGGAACTCCCTGGATGGAAAATACTGGATGCGCAGGGTTTCGACCTGGAGGACGTCACTGTGAATGACGTCGAATACTGTGGGGTCTTGAATGATCTAACTATGGCGCAGGTCAGGGACGTTCCAGACCTGATCGCAGATGGTGATTCACAAATTGTCACCAGCAAGTAAAAGTACTGATCAATTGCAATCGGCCCAATTTGCAGGGGCGATTGGCCAGTTGTGAAGCGCTGAAAATGATGTTCGATTAGGTGAGATTAATACACGTCAGGGGAGATTTCAACCAGGCAGCGGACTATCTGACTCCCAAGACGTTGCTGCTCGGAAGATCATGGAATGTCCAAGAAGACGGAGAACGTCAACACCTGGAACAAGTGTCCAAGATTCAAAAGACGTTGATGGAATCAACAGAAGCTTGTCCAGTGGCTGGTCATTCATGGGCTGGTGGCCATCCAGGATGAAGAAAACGTTCAGATGTTATTGGATGTCCCTCCACCCTAGATGCCATGGCGACTTCGTGCCATATGCAGCCAAAATCTTGAATACCCTGACACGGGCTAGTCTCCGAGGCAGGCCTCTATCATCGGAACCCCTCGACCCTCTAGAGTAGGTGGTGGTGGATTAAGGCGCACTAGGAACAAGACGAAAATCTGTGCAAACTAAGAGATTTCCTGAATGGAGATATCGAATGTTCCACGCTTCGTCAGTTGTGAAAGTTTGCATAGGTCGCAGACTTATTTGCCCAAGATGCCCGTGGTGTGCTGTATCCGTTTACTCAGTCCAAACGCAGCAGTTCTCGAGATACCCAGGATGAATTGTACCTGGTGGTGCCAATTTCTCTGAAAGAGAACATCCTATACTATGCTCATGAAGATTTTCAGGGCGGACACCAGAGCATCAACGGACACACGACCAATTTCGTTCTAAATTCTATTGACCCGGGATATACACAGACATCGATCATATCAAGGAGTAAGTTGATTGTGCGAGTGGTAAGGGGCACCCATCTAACCCTGGCCCATATACTGGAAATATCGAACCAAAACGGTCATTTGAAGTAGTCTCGATGGATTTTGTTACACACATGCCGAAGCCAGAGCGAGAAAATATGTCCATCTTCTTGTTCCAAGACATATTCTCAGGATTCGTATTGTAAAAACCAATGTCATCCACGACAGCCCAGGATGTAGCTGAAGCGTATGAGCAACGGGTGTTCAGGATGGTTGGCGCTTCAGAATCGATCCGCCACGATCAAGACCCGAGGTTCTTGAGTGTTCTCTCACTTCAGGAAAACCGTACATAGCCGTCAAAGATCCACTCTCAGCTACTGACCCCAGACCGATGGACAATACGAACGTGCAGTCCAGACTGTCATTCGGAGTGTGCGCTGAGAAAGATCAGTTTGATTGGGATGACCACGAGGAGCAATTGGTGTACATCTTTTGATGCCACTCACCTGAACACACCCTTCTATTTGGTCCATGGGTGAGACGCTCAGAGCCCTGTATCCTTCATGTTGGGACCTAAGCCGTCCTGCCTTCATGAACAGACTGCATATGAATGGAGGAGAAAGCTCCAGCGCCACTATAGGTATATACGAGCTTGTGCTAAGGACCTCCGGAGAAAAGCGATACGCACGAGATCGGAAGTTCAGGCCCAGAAGTGGAGAGAACGCTCAAAGCGTTTGAAGTCTGGATTCTAAAGGGGTGGCGCAGTCTGGCTGTATATACTCAATGTACAACCAGGATTGAGTCATCAGCTGGCACTCTTATGGCATGATCCTTTCAGGTTTGACGAGATTCACGTTGACTTCAGGGTAAAGTTGAAGATCGACGGAACCGGATATTGCGTAAACACATGTGTACATGTAAGTCGCCTGAAATCTTGGCCATTGTAGACCCATCGACGAAGTTACCCTGGATGAAAGTGACGGCCAGTATGTCGAGTTGTTGCTCAAAGATAGTGGGGAAGTGAACAACAAGAAGGACGAGTATGAAGCGGAACAAATCCTGGATCTCGAATGGAATAAATGTACCCGTACATTTAAAAGGATTCACGGATATCCTGTCAAGTGGAAGGGGTACATCGATCCTGAATGGATACCACTGTCGCAACTCCACTATGTAGCCCTGTTGTACGAGTTCAATCAGGGTGCCAGGGCCCGAGCCCGCTTTAGGACGATACAGGCGGGTGGGAACCATCCTCAGATTTAGTTGGGCACATCTGTCGATTCTGTATGACCATCTGACTATTTCTCAGACCGGTGGGTTTTGGAAACTGTCTCAATGTTGTGGATATTTTCGATTGTGGATTAATTTCGTGGATTACTTACATTTCCGGATGACTCTGGTCTGTTCTGAATTCTGGATGGGGAAAACATTTCTCGTAATTCGAAGTATGTTCTGGACCGAAGTGAGCAAACCAGAATGAAATGAAAAGAAAAAATGACACATATTAGAACGTATTCATTTGGACCCATGACAATACAGGAAACAGTGAAGAAATATGCAGGCGGGCACCCCAATCATACGTGCGTGAAGCTGGATTGTCCTGGCGGGCCAATTGAGGAAGAAGACTCACCTACACGTGTGATCCATTGGTTCTTCATCCTGGGTTGTAGTGCCCACTGTATTCGCGCTGGCTCACGACGTTCCATTAATTCGAGCTGCTCAGGCCGGGAGTATAGACTACCACGATCGCTGAACGACCTCGGATCTATCAGTATCCAGTAACACGGCGTCGAAGGCTTGGTCAATATGCAGCCTCCCAGAACATTGTGGACGACGCACCTTCAGCAATGCACTCACGCTGCTTAACGTCCATAATCCGGGTCAAAACATCCAACTGACGCTTGTGCTCACGCTGCATATCGGCTCCACCAGGAGTAGACGAGTCGATATCCAACCCGTGCCTGCCATGCTAGAAAGCTGCCACGTTATCTTTCATGAATCGGATATATTTGTCAAGATCTATCCTGGCACCTGGCGCCAACTCACTGTACGAATGTAGCACTAAGCATTTCACGCGCATCTCGAATATGTCTGCACATCACCCAGAATGAAGCGTTATTTGAGGAGTTGAATTCCAACCACCTTGTTGGGGCGCGTAATCAGAGGACCCGGCGGAGTAGCGTACGGCATGAGCGGATGAAGAATCGAAGTGACCAGAATGCTATAATAGATCCAAAACGAAAAGCCTGGACCAGGAACTTCCACAATCTCCGCTTTCCGTTTTCTTCTTTACAGGTTGTTTACTGTAACTTGATTCGGGTGCACTCACTGTGGCCGACTAATGCGACCCAAAGGAAACTGACAACGCAGACTACCAGCTCGGTTATGCCGTGAAAGTGTATTCGTCGCAGTAGCTGATGGTGTCGTAACCGACCCCGTGTGAGGGGACACAGACGTTTGGTAGCGGGAAAGCATCATCAGAACCCTGAGCATCGTCGCCATCCTGCACGTCGACCTCTTCTTCAGGATTGAAGGTCGAGTCCCGCTGAAGGTCGCCATGACGACTGCTCGCGTTGTCGACCACGCCTTGAGCATCGCAAACGTCTGCGTCAATAAGGTCTGGCCAAAAGTCAGAGGGCATACCTTCCGAATTCGCGTCAGCCAAGAGTAACTCCGTGCGAAGGTAGTTGCGCTCAGGAACGTTCTCGAACCATAGTGACTCATCGAGAAGGTTCCAAAACATCATGCTTGTGAGCATAACAGCAAGTGCAACAGGGGGACAAATCGTGGACCTTGATGTCCTCACTGAACGGTGTGATCGCGCCCTGGTAACCAATCTCAGCTTGTATCAGTAAGGTGACGTCAGGGCGAAGTGATTTGTTCTTCACCATGTCGCCTACATGTGCCTTCGAGAACATCAATTTGTCTGTGGGAGAGCGTGCCCCAGCTTTCATGGGTTTCCAGGCAGTACATGGCAACTAAAGGCACTTCGGGACTCTGAGCACTGATCCACGTTGTCTCTGTTTCTTGGAGGACGTAGCCGCCTGCGAAGGAGGGTCACTGACACCAGAACCAGGCTGTGTCAAGTCGATGGTGTTCCCACCACCCTGAATGTGGCCACCCTTGGTGTAGCCGCCCTGGTCGCCACTATCGTCCTTGGCTCCGTCATCCGAATCATCCTCGGACAACGCTGTGAAGAGTACATTCTCGACGAAAGGATTATCCTCCGTGGTGACGTGGTCAGAGTGCTCCAACTACTCTCGGGGTCATCACCATCATGAAAACGTTCAAGCAAGATCTGGAGCCTGCCCCCGTTGAAGTTGGCGTGGGTCTGTTCCGATTCACAATATTCATCAAGCGAGGAACGGCGAGACGACGCGTCCCACGGTGGCCTCAACCCATCAGAAGGAGACTATCCACCTGGGAACGCAATTCAGAGATTTCTCAGTGAAAGACGCGCTTGTCGAGTTCATGTTCAAACATGACCCCACGGAGATCATCCTGCCGGCGGTGATCTGCGGCATCCAACATCATCTGCAACCGACGAGCTTGACCCCAGTAGGATTCGTGCAGCGTAGCATAGTCAGCCTTGTCCCTGGTAGTCTCACACTGGGCGTTCAACATGTCATGATATGTTTAGCCTCGATCTGAGCGTGGAGGTGTCGGAACTTATCCGGGAGTCGTTCCAGTAATGTCGTGGTGGCAAACGCTTTGTGCGTTAGTCTGTTGGGGCGATAGTGCGACGGGATCGAAGCTAATTCTCGTCGTATCATCAGTGAACTCATTATATATTCCTGGTCGACCATGTCGAGGGATCGATCAGGGCGAGGACGTAAGACCAGGTCATCCACGTCACCATCTTGGTCAATCAGCGAAGCCAAATCCTGGATACCCACTGCGGCCAAACCATCGACACACCGCAGCACTTCAAGATATCCGTAACCATCCCTGGTGAACTTGTCCACGGCGAGAAACTGGCACCACGCAGGTATACCCACAAAGAAGGCGTGATCCGAAGGACTGTGGGTTACAGAGCGAGAGAAACGGGCAGGTACTATCTCTGGGTTGATCGTAGAACGATCCTTTGCTGGCAATGGGAAAGAATGGCGCCGCGTAGGCGCTTGAAACCGATTGGCGATACGTGAAGCTTTTTGCGGGTGTGCGCCGAGGTCGGTGATGTCTGCAGCCGAATCCTTACCCTCCAACATCGGCTCAGCAGTG